TAAGATGGAAAATTTATACCTAAATACTTCTAGTTATTTAATAAGATAAAATATCAAATATATATGGCTTCAAGTCATTAAAAAGAATAGAGAATTAACCCCACATATATATATATATATGGCTTCTAACCATAAGATAAAAACTCAAAGTTGTATAGCTTCTAGCTATAATATAGAAAATCAAAATCATATGGCTTTTAGCCATTTAATTTGAAAAGAATGAAAAATCTGAGTTATATGGCTTCTAGCCATTTAATTACAATGAGATGAAAACTTAGAATTATATGGCTTCTAGCCATTTAACTTTAGATGGTAAATCTTTATGGATACTGCTAGTATTTATTGGAACTTCGGGTTCTATCGAAATAGTAACGTCAGGTCAATAAGAAATAGATGGGGGGAAAAAATCTCCTATCATAGTCATGGAACTGATGTTTAAAAAAACAGTAGGTAATCCTTTTAATTCCATATAATGGCTTAGATTATCCTAGATAAATTGAATAGGAATACAGATACTCTAAAACACCATATATATGATGCTCGAGGTATTTTTATTTGAACAGAGCAAATGATACTCTAGAAAAATAATAAAGATGATACTCTAAAATTATGATGGGGTAGAAAAGTATATCATACGCACCTTGGTTAAAACTTTAGTTTTTACATAATTGATCAATGTTTGAGTTTTTTTTAATTGATTTTTATGCAGATTGTAAATTTCGAGAGAAATCAGGTTTAATTTAGTAATATTTATTAATTTGTATTAGTTTGAAAAATAAAACGTAGGAGAAAATATAAGAGAAAATGTAGGAGGTTTGGATAGGGACAATATGATATTTTCAAATTTATATTCGAATATTTGATCCTTTTAAATAATTTTAATTTTTATGATCCTCTTCCATAAATATCACTCCCAATTGGTCCTTCTCTCTAATTCTCCCTTAAAAAAAACCCTAAATCCCTTTAAATATCTAAATTTCCTATTCTTTCATTTTTTTTTTTTGTCTTTTTACCCGGAATTTATAAAAACAAAAATATTGAAATACACGTACTAACTCGTCCTAAACATAGAATCTAACTATATATTTAGGAGTGGAAATAGTATCTATTAATAATAAAAAGGCTATAAAATAAATGCACTATAAACTGGATTTTATATTTAGAATTAGAGGTAGTATCTATTAGTAATAAAAGAGCCCTAAGGTAAAAAAACTTTTTATTTAATTTTTTATCGATTAAAAAATTAGGGAAAATCCCATATAAATACTATTTGAATTCTAAAATTCCAAATTAGTCATTCTAATTTCATAAAAGACCAATAGGTCTATAGATACTAAATTGGAATTTACAAATTTTAACAAATTACCTCAATACCTTTTCTCTCATTCTCTTTTGTCTTCTCTCTCACTTCATGTTCAGAGAGTTCTTCTCTCTCTCTTCAAGTCCTCTTCTTCTTCCAAGGGCGGCTGAACTGAAAGGCTAGGCATGAGTTGTCAAATGGTTTGGTAAAGAAGAAGAAGATGTGGTCCCTCCTACAGCATTCTGGTATGTTCCTAACGAATATTTCATGATGCTTGGGGTTTGAGACTTGGTACATCCTGTCTTTCATGTTCCCTTCTCAATCTCATCACCAATACTATAAGAGAGAGAGAGAGAGAGATGAAGTTTAGAGAAGAAGCAATGAAAAAACGAGGAAGAGAGAGAGAGAAGAAGAGAGAGAGGAAGAAGAAGCACTTATAGAACTAGGGCATTTATGCAAGATTTGGGAGTATATTGATTAACTTTCTACTATCTTTTAATAAAGTTTGTTTTTAAATTCTGCTATTTTGTCGGAATGAGTAATAAATTTCATTACCTAAGCACTAAATCTCGATACTTGAGTAGTAAATAGCCCTTGTTGGTTTGTGGTGAAATGACAACACTTAAGATGTGAATGACTATATTTGTATTAGTAATAACAACTTTTTAGTAAAGCCCAGAAGATTGACTTGTTATTGAAATTGAACTCATTTGTTAATGGAACTAATCAGATTTGTCATGGTAATGACTACATTGTCGTAAAACAAATTAAGTTAAGTGGGTTGTGGGATTTACTACACTTCGTAATGGAATTGACTATGTTTCTTTTGATAATGATTAGATTATTGTGGAAAAAATATACTATAATGGATGACTATAAATTGTTGGTTTTTTAGGAGGAAAAAATGGTATTAGAAGGAGAGCCAAGCAAAAAAGTGAAGAATGGATGCATATTGTTTTGAAAAGAATTTCCTGGGTCGGGAAGAAGTTTAAGAAGAGTGTTGTACACACAAATGTATTATCCAACTATTGTTATGATATTTGACTTATGATTGTAGATAGAAATTGTTTACAAAAATATATTTAATCACTATTATTGCACATTTATTGATAACAAGTGCAAATTATGTTTATCTTTGGGTGTCATTATAATAAAGGTAGCTTATAACAGCCTTTGCAAAGGGATTGACAACTTTCAAAATGAATATACCAATTTTTATAATGTGTTTCACAATCTCTTTATTTGTAATCATTTTAAATCTATTTACATACAATTTTACTAAACATATAATGAGAATAACAACTTGTGAAATAAAAGTGATTATTTGCATAAAAGAGTTTTACAATTTGTTATAAGCTATTTGAAGACAGTTTTACCAAATAAGTAAAAGGAATCACAACTTGCATAATGAAAGTTGCCATTTGCATTAGGGGATTTGCAATTTATGTATTTGTAACTATTTTTAATGCTTTTGCCCACAATTTTACTAAATATGTAATGAGAATAACAGCTTACAAAATGAAAGTGACCATTTACGTAGTGAGTTTTGTAACCTATTTTAATCAACGTGTTAGTATGTGAAAATATTCAATTGCCTTTTCTTTTTCTTACTGGAGGGGCGTATTAGTCATTCTATCAAAATATGCAAATCCCAAATTCATACATTATGTCTATTTGGTTATTTCATTTATTTGGACTACCTTTTTGTCTTTTTCAATTTCAGTAGGTTTTTTTTTTGTTATTTTCCCAAAAAATTATGTCTTTAGATGTAGCTTGTACAGATGAGCCAAACGTTAAGGGAAAAGTCTTTTTGTATGGACAAACTTAATACCTGTAATCTCTACAACAATTTTTTAAGGTTAGTGTATTTTTTTTTTAATACTTCCCATAGTCATTAACTAGAAAGTTTTCCTGTGCATTGTACTAGGGGTCTGAATTATGAATAATTTTGCCATAATTCTAAAATGCACACAAATTTTGACCATAAAGGTTTTTTTGTTAATATAATCTTTTGTCCTTTAAATTTGCCCTCATCTTGATTTTAATCCCTCAATTTTCAAAACATAGGTTTTGGTCTCTCAATGGGCAAAATGGTCTAAATTTTTATTAAATTATACGGACTAATGCTATAAATGAAGAGAAATTTAAGGGACTAAAAATTATAGTTTGAAACTTGAAGGACAAAAAACTAGAATAAAGATAAATTTAAGTGACTAATGTTTGTATTAACCCAATTTTTTCATGAAATTAGTTGAAATAACTTCTTTAAACATAAAAAGGGACATATAAGAATAACCCGAAAGCACCAACACAATTAACAAAAAAAAAGGACAAAAATGTTTTTAATCTTCTAAAGTTATTAATTAAAGATAAAGCTTCAATTACTTTTGAAAATACCAACATGGGTTTTAATAGCTAATTAGAAGGTTATGAACGCTTTATTAAAGCATTTCCAGTAGCTACTTATCACTATTTAAGTGAAAATTGGTTTAAAATCCCCATTTGATAATTTAATTGGGGAAAGGGACTTGGTATAATGTAAAAATGTGGGGCCCTTGAATGTTAGTAAATGTGATGAAAAAAAAGATCACATTGCCCTAATGATGGATGCTTACTTGTATATGACAAAATATATATGACAGATGCTTGTTTGCATGTAGTGGATGTTCACTAGCTTGCATGTATAATTAGAATGCATATTACCCAATAACATGTAATAAGGACCTATGTATAAGTGAGCATCCGTCATATGTAAAAGAGCATCTATCATATGCAATTAGCATCTATATTACGTAATAGCATACAATAAAAACCCATATACAATTAGGCAACTGCTATATGCAAGTGAACATCTATTAGATATATGTCAGCACACATCATATGTAATTAGCATTTGTATTATGCAATAAACCTATGCGCAAGCAAGCATATGTTATATGCAAGTGAGCATCGTCCACATACAAAAGAGGATTCTTCCTATGTAAATGAGGATCTATCATATGCAGTTAGTGTCATTAAGGAAATTGATCTTTTCCTTATCACATTTCTTGACACTTAAGAACGCTACACTTTTACATTATTCCAAGTCCTATTTCGTAATTAATTTGTCAAATGAGAATTTTTAACAAAATTTCCCATTATTTAGTTCTAATAAATGTGACATGATCCTCCTAATATGCATCTACGTAATATTAAATTATATATTAATTTATAGTTTTGATAAATTAAATTGAAAAAAAAAACAAAAAATATAAGAAATATAATAGATTAATATTTTACCTTTAAGACTAAAACCGCTTTTAGCTTGCTTCTACATTTATTACGTAGCTGCGTAGCTGCATCAAAGATGTCATTTGCATGGATCAAATTTAATTTAATTTAATATTTGGAATCTCTAACATCATTGTAAATTTAATTTATTTTTATTTATATTTCATTTTATTTAAAAAAATATTAAAGTGAAAAAGCACCTAGATTTTCTAAATCATCTTGGGATGGTGCAAATATTATCAGCACATACATCCATCTGTCTTGTTTTGGTTGAAATCAAAGCTTTATTGTGTTTATGATTTATTTAAAGAAGAAATTACATTTTAGACGTTGGATATTCCAAGAGCTTCCGCACTAATTTACGCCACCTCTTTATGCTTCGTTAAATAGAAAAACATATTTTTATGTATACCAAACATAAGACTTTTAGTTATAAATAATACTTTGTATATAGGTAATGCATATCAATATATCGAAGATTCTATACCATGATATACTGAGTCATGTACGGAAGTTCCAATCCCACAAAAATAACTTGAACAATAAGGCACTTGCATTTTTACAATTCAGTTAAACAGGAATGAAGCACTAGTTTTAGGGGATGTGGTACATGGGATTGGGAAGTTTGAAGGAGCGAGCAGACAATGAATAACCCAACAAGTCACTCCATTGGTCCCCAGCGTTCCCAAGGATTCTGTATCCTTCTTTCTCCATCTCACTCCTCTTCTCTGACTTGTAAATTGTTGCCAGTTTCTCACGTTCATCTGGGCCTCTGTTCATGTCAACAGAAGATTTAGAATCCAGATTCAAAGTGAAGATGATAAGAAAGATGTTCCTCAAACTATGTTTAATCACAAGCACAATACAAGTTTCTTTGTGAAGAAGCTCTTGCCAGATAGAAAGTGAGTGAATGAATGGGAGATTAAAATAGCAGAGTAACTAAAGACTTAAAAATGAAATACAATAAGAAAAGGGAAAATTTCACTGTAGGACTGCAGAAGACAATTAATTTCAAAGAGCCCCCAAAACTTTCTGAAATTTCACTGCAGGACCAAGGGGGCAAACTGATATTAATTCCACAAAAAAAATGACGCTATTGCCCCTCATAATACTTATTGCAGGGTGACATGTAAATGGACTAATTTCAGTTGTAAATAAAGGTATGTATGTTGCAAATTGATTAGTCCCACTTGCAAATGGGTTCTCTCACACTTATTCACTCACAGGCACCTTTTTTAGGTGAATGAGGTGATATGTAAATGGACTAATTCTAATTGTAAATAAATGTATGTATATTGCAAATTGACTAATTCCACTTGCAAATGGGCGTTCCCACACTTGTTCACTCACGGAGACCTTTTTCAGGTGAAGGAAGTGACATGTAAATGGACTAATTCCAGTTGTAAATAAATATATGTATGTTGCAAATTGTCTAGTCTCACTTGCAAATGGGCTGTCCCACACTTGTTCACTCAGACACATTCTTCAAGTGAAAAAGGTAATATGTAAATGGACTAATTTTAATTGTAAATATATTTATGCATGTTGTAAATTATCTAACCTCACTTGCAAATGGGTTCTCCCATACTTGTTCACATGAAGGGCAATATGGTTATTTTCTTTGTGGAATTAATATCAGTTTGCCCCCTTGGTCCTACAGTGAAATTTCAGAAAGTTTTGAGGGCTCTTTGAAATTAATTGTCTTCTGCGTCCTACAGTGAAATTTGCCCATAAGAAAATCCCATTGCTGTTTGCGACAGATAGGTACACTTTCAACTCGATGGGCAGTATGTGGGATAAGAATTGAGAAATCCTCCTCCAAAAGTCAGCTATTGTAGAAGTAAAACCAACCTACTTAAATACCTCAATGCGGTTTACGCTGCTTGATGTGAAACTAGATAGGCCTAAGTACCTTGGCCACAATCCCAGCTTTGTCTTTTTCTTTGTTTTTTTTTTTTTTTTGGCCCAAGTTAGTCATTCAACAATGTTTGCCAAACCTAAACAAGTTTTTGGCCCGAATGTCTCAAGTTAAATGGTGCTAGTAACTCATCTTATATTGCTCACTCCAAGTCAGCAACACATTAGACTTTATATTACTTTTTGGATGGAGATAGGACACAAGAACAGCATAATACTTCAATCATAGAGACTAAATTGAAAGAAACGATTTATGCAGAAAGAAATTAAAATCATCCAGTTAATTCTTCAAACATTTTGTCAAAAGCTATCATCATTGATTTAAATGCCATGAATACGCAGGTTGCTAAGGACACCAGGAAAACCATATGTAAGTGAATATCTGGAAAATCTATTCAAAAGAGGAACATGAAATTCTACAGGGGAAATAGGATCAAAAGTCAGTCCATTTCCATCTCGTCCACTGATAAGAAATCTCTATGGAGTCACTGATTCTAAGGTTAATTTTTCATATGTCAAATAAAACATCATTAACATCTGAATTTCAATACATTTTAACCATATTTTCAGTCATAAGAGTGAATTATAGAAAAACAAAAATGAGGTTCTTCATCACAACTGAATTTGATAATGGAATCCTGGAATTTTAAATGAATGTAAATGCAAGAAAGAAAACGAATCACTTGGAAAAAATACATCAACTTTAGATTGCAGAGGACTACCCAAAAAGAAAGGGAAATGAAAACCTTTTCAAAAAGTATGCCACAGTTTACTTGATTCACACCAGCTATGTAAACCTAATTTATGATGCCTACATGAAGGCAAACCGTGCAAATTTGTAGAATTCCACACAATATGCCTAGTTCCAGTATCTCACTTCAAAGACCAGATGCAGGTAATGTTCTATTGTCACAGCTTAAAACCATGAAGCAAACAAAATGACATACAGAACTGAGCGAATCATGTTCTGTTTAAAGCAACTATAATACATACAATTCACAAGGTTTTCATGTTTTCTAAACTTCTTCTAGATTAGAGTAAAAACTGTCACATGGTTTTCCAGAATATCACCCAACCAACGCCTATTTGGTCACTGAAATGATGTTCCCAGTTCCAAAATCCAATACTAATGCTGGCATGACATCGACTGCTTCGTTCACTCATCAACGTGGCTTAATAGTGCATGTGGTGTGGAATATGGTGGATGTGATTGAAGTAGTAGTTTCCGTTCACGGCTAGAAAGAAAATTGGCTTTCTGTTAAGATGCAAGAGTTTCAAACCCCATCGAAGCCAATTTCATATAGATCAACAAAGGCCACACTGTTATAGAGTGAAATGCAATGATTAAAAATTATCTAAGAATTTCCTCTGTGGTTGGATCCAACAATGAAGACTGATAATGGTTACTCCTCACACCTTCCCAACAAAAAAGGATATTCAGAAATACAAGTGCAAACGAAGAGATGCTGAGTAAGCTTTTAAAGTGGCGGTTTCCGTCAGTGGGGGATCCTTTATACGGAAGTCGAAAGTTAAAGAAGGCATTATCATTTCATGTAATTTTACACAAGTACCAGAGTTATGTACGGTTACTGTACATAACTTAACAATTACCTTGCCATCAGATTTCTTAATCAAAATACGACAAATATGTTCTTATTTAAGAATCATATACTTGTCATGTCTTGTTTGGATAACTTAACAATTAAGATATGAACAATTTTTTTCTAGAAAGTGCCAAAGTTCGCTCGATCAAAGATACATGGAACAACACAGATTGATAGGATTTACACAGCGCATTTTAACTTTTGACGGCCTGAACTTAAGATCCATATATAAATCAAAAGTTGAAATAGAAAAAGAACAAACTGTAAATAAGTTTGCGTAGTACGTTAAGGACCTAAGGCACAGATTATGGTGATTTGGGATCACAACAGATCGTAGAACAAACATATTCACACATAATGGTCATTCAAAAGCCAATACTAACTGAAAAAACTTCAGACAAAGATAATATATCTGACAATATTTATCACAGCATAAACCGCACACTGCAGGCAGTATTAGCGAAATGATGTTTCAGAATTACCTTAATATGAGTTGGTGCCATTTTCGAAACCCAGCACTGATCAAGTTGTCAATAGTAACACCTCTATGCGCTTCACTCCTTCCAGTCAGCAATATAACCTTAAAACCCAGATTCAAAACCTCTTCATAAAGTTTTAAACTGGGTTCTATTGCAGGTGCCATAGCCTTCTCCACCCACTTGTCAAACTCCACATGGTCAAAAAGCTGATACCTGAAAACACATTAAAATGGCTAAAAATCAATCCCACTATAGAAGGTATCAGCTCCAATATCAGAGAAACCCCACAGATATGGGAGCAAATGAATACTCATAAATTACCCATATCCATGTGCAGCATAATACGGAAGATTTGAGAGCAGAGTCTCGTCAATGTCAAATATCCACACATCCTTCCCATCACCATTCAATTTCACACTCTTGGCATAATCCCCAGCTTCCTTAGACACCATTTCCAGATCAAGAGCATAGCCCTTACCCATCATGTATTCCTTGACATACTCCACACATTCTAGCGGAATCGACTTCCATGGGTTCAAATTGTTAGCCTCCGCCGCGAATCTCCAACTCGTACATCTCAATCCAACCTCATCGTCAATTTTCCTGAACTGGCTTTCAATATTTTCCGAGTATTCAATAATTAAAGGTCTCGGTAGGACGCGGGTATCAACATTTTCCAGAGAAAACGCAACGGAAAACAATGAAAAGAGCAGGAAAAGCCGAAAGAAAGTCATGGCAAAAGGCGCGCGAATTAATGACGACATGAAATTCTGGGTATTATCCGCGGCACCAATAGAAATAAGAGGGGGAAAATTCTTTGCTTCCTCTGTGGGTATCACCGAAAAGGAAAATCGAAAAGGTAATTAATTAACACAAGGAATTTATGAGAAAGGCAGAATCTGAATAAAAGCGAAGTCGGCAGAAAAATTTCTTTTTCTTTTTCTTCTCTTCTCCCCTAACAACTTCAAGGGCAATGATCTGAAGAAATAAGGAACTGAGGATATACGTTTCTTTTAGACGCTAATGACGACGCAGAAAGAGGCCCTGTGAAACAGTAACCTTCTTTCTGCGAGGACGAGGAGGACGACAAGGAAATGTGGAGTTAAGCAAAGACACAGCTTCTGCCGTGCGTGAACGAATCGGATTCCTTTTGGATATTCGGTATGGGATTTGGAAGGTGTTTGGTAAAACCAAAATCACAGTTTCGAATCACTTTTCTGTAAAACAAGATAACTTCACATATTTACTTCGTAATCCGTAAAAATACTTCTGAAAACTATAATTTGGTTTCTATTCAAACACTCCTTTGGTAACGAAAATGAGTTGGTTGGTTCGCCGTTTTATGCAGACAAGAAAAGCCATTGTGATTTGTGAGCCCGTGGTGCGACAACGATGGGACCCGTTGAATTGACCCCACCCATCCTATGTGGACCAATTAGCCATTAGTACTTTTGTCATCCTCTCCTTCATTGGCCAATATCCCTCAATCCATCCTTTTTGTTTTTAACGCACGTGATAACGAACGGCAAACGGGAAAACGGAACGTTTTTAATGACATGATTTTTTTCATAAACAAAATTACATGGTTTTTTTTAATATTCTTTTATAACATTTTTATTTCAAACTGTCGTTTCACATTTTATCATTTTTATTTTTATTAAGAAAAAATAGCAAATAAAAACCATTGAATGTATGAAATTGCAAAATGAGTTCTTGAATAACATAATCACTTGAAGTCTTAAATTGCAATTGTGAAATACTCTTTCCGGTTTAAAATATAAGCTAAACTTTATCCATTATGTTTATCAAAAAACTAATTAAAATCAATTTAAAACAATAAATATCTAGGGCATATATTTATTTTTCCTAATATACTCTTATTTTATTAATGAAGAGAATAAATAAAAGATGTAATAAATTAATTAAAGAGAAAAGAGAATATATGTGGGTAAAATTGGAAAAAATGATTAAATGCTTGAACAAAAGTAAATGTTATCTTATAAAAAACAACATATTTAAAAAAGTTTAGCTTATATTTTGAACCAGATGAAGTAATAGAAAAAATACTAAAATTTTCTTCACTTCTTTTGTTCTTCCTCCTCTTTTCTCTTTCTCTTTGTCTCCCTTTCTTCCTTTTTCTCTTTCCTCCTTCTCTCCTCCTTCTTCCTTCTCCTTCTCCTCCAACTCCCTTTCTCATCCCCACCCCTATCTCCCCTAACCCCACTTCGTCATTCCCTCCCCCAACCTACTTCATATCTTCACTACTGCTAAATCTCTAGCAATTTGAGAACACTCCATGATAGGAAATGTTGGAAATTGTGCCCTAGGGGCCAATCATTATGTTTTGAACATTGTTAATTTATGAATTTATTAATTACGTTATCATATTATTTGCATGTTTACTGTGATGACTATCCTTGGATAACTCATGGTTTATCCTAAATGTCCCTGATCGATCATCTATGTGGGAGCAAAGATGAAATAAGACCAGTATGACTTTAAAGATATATAGAGATATAAATTAAAGTCATAGGCACATGTAAGAGTACAAGGTGTTGGACCGACCCGCCATGAGAGAGCTGCATGGGTTAAGTCATAAGTTTCTCTCATATACAAACCATGTCACTGTGCCCTTTGACCTGAGATCATCATGGATTCCTACATGAGAAACGCTTAGCTTTGACCTAGTCAAAAGTCACTTTTGACCGAGTGATCATAAAGACTATATTCAGGCTTAGTGGTTTTTTTTTTCATGCGGAGGAATGTGAATGGTCAAGATGGAATTTGTCCCTCACATTCGTAGAGAGACATTACTGGGCCCCTCGATGAGTGAGTCTGAGAAATGTATGGCCATACTATAATGGAAAGGTAGTTCCGTTTCTATACTCAGACTACTCAGGGATCGAGAAAGTAATGGTCATGAATAGGAGGATGACGTTCTCCATGCCTCATCCATGACCAAAATGTCGTGTGACAAAAGGGACGCGATATGGTTGTATGAAAGGTTGCATCGTTCAATGATCCTCATATGTTTTGGGTAGTCGTGATGTCTTGCTAGAGACCGCTTACGACTTGTGAGTCATTATAGTAAATGGCCCACTGCCAACTTCATATGGGCCTACAGGGTCGCACACAAAATAGCCCAACACGAGTTATGATGTCCAGATTCATTGAATCTAGGATATGTCCAGATTCAATGAATAAATAGGGTGGACGTGTATATATATATATTCGTATATATATATTATATATAAATATAAGAGATATTAATTGTTAGATTTAATTTATAAGGATAAATTGGATCTATGTAAATTAATTCCGTCATATCTTTATTTTTGAATTAGATAAATAGGTGGATTAAATCTGTGAGACGGATTTAATTTAAACCATATTTATTTAATTGTTCTCTTATCTGATTAGGCAATATTTGATATTGAATTAATTTCGGAATTAATTTAGAATTAATTTTGAAATTAAATATTATTCATTAAACCTATAGCATCCTATATATTTGATATGAGGGAGCTAGGGTTTTTAGAGAGAGAGAACCAACAGATAAGAGACGGCCTAAGAAAGGAGAGAGGATGGATTTCTAAAACCCTAGACGGACATAGGCGCTAGCACGCCGTTCGAGGTTGAGGGCTACTCGTGTGGATACCGGTAGAGGAAGCCGACCGGAGTTGTCGACTTCGAACGACAAAGGAGGCGAGCAGAAGCATCCTGAACGGCCGAATCATCGAGTCACCAGGAAATCGAACGCCTGAAGGTAATGCTTCTTACTACCTGACTTAAACGCGATCGGTAGATCCGGGAAAGGGATTGAAAGTTTTAAAATTTTATGTCGTTTTTCGCTGCGCGTCGTCTTTCAATTCCCTTCAGGAAATGCAGAACATTCATCACTGCTTACCATCATACACTATCATAGAGGGAGAATATTACCATGGTAGTCTCCCTTGTATCTTCTCTTGAATTGACCTCTTCCACTTTACTCACCTACTTGTGGCAATGTGAACATTGAATAGGTGACTATAGAGTCGTCACATTACCCCCATGGAATAGTAAGTGATGTCAAAGAGTGCACCATCTTTTGCTAGTAGCTTCACAACATTTTTATGGCTCAGTAACTTTCCTTTAGGTCTATTGTGACCATAAGATCTAATTGCGATCTCGAGATCCACTATGATCTCTTTGGGTTTTACTTTGGATCTAATTGTGATCCCTTATTGAACCATATTAAACTTCAATTGCTGGGTCTTCGGAAGAGTCTAGACCAAAGGACTAAGCTGTACAATACTTCGTCTCTACTTGACTGATAATTTCCCCAAGACTATTCACAGATATAGACACTGTCTTCATAGATCTTACTCATTCCTTTTGTCAACTCCGGACTATCTCTGTTTGTCACACCCTGATAATTTTATTCTAGTTGATGAATGATTTGTGACTAACTAAGGCCAAATAGTATAGTAGACTGGTAGAGGATCCAGGCTATGAGGAAAAATCAGGATAGGGACATAACCGTCATTCTTGAAAAGATCAGTCAAGAAAGGGCAGTATTGGAAATAATGTCCAAAATTCCTGAAAATTCCCAGAAAATCATGAAAAATAGAAAGGAGGGTACAGAATAATGTTTGAGGCTTAGAAGATGAATATGAGATTAAAAATAATTTACCAGGGAGTTATTTGTAATTATTGGAATTTTTGGCTAATTAAGGAAAATTAGCCAATTTCCATTATTTAAAATATATAGAGGCCTCAAAAATTCAAGGAAAAATATGGATAAATTATGTGACATATTATCCTAATTTATAAAATTATTTCCCACCTTTGGATGTGCAGAGGTTAGCTTAAAGAATATTTATTACCGAATTATTATCGGTAGAATAGTGATTTTTGACAGAATAAAATTTAGAAAATTATAGAGGGAGATAAAACTTGAGAAAAATCATGGATTACCCTTGGAATGAGGGGAATTTAATGAGGTGTTGAAATCAAAATTTTGTGACAGTAAATTGGACAGGATTATTGGAAAATCGGACTGGAAATACACAAATAATCAGTGGATTGCACTGGTTATTGGATGAGTCATATTTTTTCCAATATTAAGAGCAATAATTCGGCCAAAATTAGAAGGGGAGGACAAAGTTGGAATTTTCCACATTATTCAAGGGCATAAAGGGAAATAAGAGACAAAACAATAAAATAATATTTATTTTCCACATGAAAATCACATGGTGATTAGGTGTCCCTCCATGTGTCATTTTCTTATGGTGTGTGCCCTAAGATTTGTCCATGTGTAAAGTAGAAAAAAATGGACGGCCGAGATTGCATCTTTTTCCCGAAGGGCATTTTTGGCATTTTGAAATATCAAAGCCTATAAATACCCCCCCTTCCATGAAGAATTCGGCCAAGGTGGTTTTGTTGGGAGAGAATTTTGTGTTCTTGAGTTCTAGGAGAGAGAAAGGAAGAAAGAAGAGAGAGAAAGAGAGAAAGCAAGCTTAGACACCTCTAATCGCCGATTAAGAGCTAATTAAGGTATGATTATCTCCCTAAGTGTTAATTATTTTTAGTTGATTATTTATTTGAGGAAGATTAGGATTAATTACCTTGATTAATTATGGTTTAGTGATAGCTAAGATTAATCATGTTATTTGATTAAGGATTAGTAAGTGGTTAAGATTAGCTACCCTAATTAATTAGTGATTAGTTATGGTAATTGAAGGATGATTAATTATGATTAATCATGTTGATTAAGGATTTATTAAAGCTTAATCATATTGATTAGAAAATGATTAATCATGTTGATTAAGGAATGAATAATGGTTAATCATATTGATTAGAGAATGATTAATGGTTAATCATGTTGATTAGAGAATGATTAATGGTTAATCATGTTGATTAGAGAATGATTAATGGTTAATCCATAAGGGATTAGTGACTTAATCTTAGAGGATTATGACTATGTGACTTGAGGACCTTAATTAAATATTGGATTAAGGATTAAGGGTTAATGATTAACCAAGAAAGCATGATTAATCATGGATTAAGGAAGAATTCCAAGACCTTAATTGAGGATTAAGGCTTGGTCAAACCAAGGTCAAAGGTTTAGGAAAGGTATACAGAAATTATAAATTGAAAGGCACAAGGGTAGCA